ATATATGTACATTTATATCTTTCACATCACACACAATGACAAAACGCAGAGAGGGGAAGGGGGGAAGAGAGAGAGAGAGAGAGAGAGAGAGAGAGAGAGAGAGAGAGGGAGAGAGAGAGAATATCTCGCTTACTTATCTTCATTTATCTTTGGCCCAAAATTCATTTGCAGAATCTTTGCAAATATCCATTTTTGCAGGATATATATGCATACCGCGTACTTCAAATACGCGTCGTGTATTCTTATTGCGGAAAAAATGTGCGTTAGCTTCTAAAATCTGTCGAGATTATATTTACATTAACATTTGTATATCATCACATCAATCTTCTTCAGATGTTCGTCGTATCAATACTTATATCCATTAACTCTTTGTGATCCTTTATTGACATGATGATTCATATATAATCCTCGTGAAAGCATCTGGGAATTTAAAGCATTGATTGTGTGTGTGAACTTATTATATTATGAAACTTTCATAAACGTCCTAACAGTAAACATTCATCGCGCGCGCGCGCGCGCGCGCGTGTGTGTGTGTATGTGTGTGTGTATGTGTGTGTGTATGTGTGTGTGTGTATGTGTGGTGTGTGTATGTGTGTGTGTGTGTGTGCACTTCGAATCAATTTTCACAAACTCCACGACATCATATACATCTCTTTGTACCTGCACTTTTTCTAAAGTGTTTATACCCAAGTACCTGGGTGGTATACATATGTGTACCATTAATATATTAAAGAACAATACAAGCTGCCCGCATACTTCGAAAGACTGGACCGAATTTTCTTTCTGTCTTTCTCTTTCCTCTCTCGCTCTTTCTCTCGCAATTTGTGAAGCTTCTATTTCATTACTTCTATTTCATCATAAAGATATCGTACCATTCCGCCATTTCTTCATTAAATATATGGTCGTGGTCAACCCACCACATGCCATGTCTACCTCCAATGTACATCTTTATATTATCCATCGCTTTTACCTCGATTTTTGCGAAACATCCGTCGAATCGATATTTCTTTCACGAATAAAGCGATATATCGTATTTGTCCTGAGAAATAGGACGATACTATAGAGTCACAACTTCCTTCGAGAAGATACTGAAAATTTGATTCCTACAAGAAGCTGATAGTATAGAAGATGATAGATTCATAACACGTACAGTTTCGTATTCAGCGGATGCTTTTTTAAACCGTTAAAATTTCGAAAAGAGACGTAGGTCGAAAAGAGTCGAGTTACATACATATTTAAAAGAAGATACTACAATAGCATCGGATATACAAACAGTATTTTAATGTTTTTAGTTAATTTGAGCCAAATGTTTGTCTTTTACATACGTTTAAGTACAAATATAAAACGTTACGCATAAAAATTATATTGAATATCATTTTCTAACTTGGATTAACAAAATCTTCTAGTTTGTAGGATATTATATTCTTACGTGAAAAAATGTGAATACATGTATAATAATATAAATTGCGGTAAATCTAATAAAATATTTAATAAAGAGACAAATGAGATGATCTTTCTTATAAACACAAACAGATTCTCATGTGTGCGACGTTCTGTAAAAATACAAAAACTAGAGACTGAATTAGCTTACCCTACTCACACATTTAGTTATTATGTAAAAGTATTATTCTCTTTTGTCATCCGTTACAAAAACTCTGATTAAGATGTTGATCACCATATATCCCACGAATGCTCATATTTCACGAACATGGATTTATTATCGAGGAGCAGAGTATTTTCCCGGAAATTATAATAAAACAGTTAATAAAAAAGGATTATGTTAAATGAGATATATTTATGATATTCGTATATTCTAACAATTAAATATTAATTAAATATTCAAATATATTTGTAAATATACACGAAATATTATGAATACACATAGAAG